ATATATATATATATATATATATATATATATATATATATATATATATATATATATATATATATATATATATATATAATATATATATAGATATATATATAATATATATATAGATATATATATTATATATATATAGATATATATATTATATATATATATATAGATATATATATTATATATATATATATATAGATATATTATATATATATATATAGATATATATATATTATATATATATATATATAGATATTATATATATATATATATATATATATATATATATATATATATATATATATATATATATATATATATATATATATATATAATTATTCTGGTCCTACCCGTCCATATGGTGGAACAGCTGTTATAGTCGAACTCCAATGGCAGATGGATATCCCTGTGCTCGGAATATAAATGGAATTGAATTAACTGTGATTAAAACACAGGATCATCCAGATCTAACTATATTTGGATTATATCGTTCTCCTAGCATTGCTTTATCACAGCTACTTGCTGCACTTCGTACCATTCATGAAGAAAATGTGTCTGCTCAAAGTATTGTTATTGGAGACTTTAATGTAAATTGGATGGTGGAATCTGAGCGACAGTCACTGTATAACCTCATGGTCTTAGAATATAGCTACAGACAAATGATATCAAGTTTTACTACAGATAATACTACAGATTGAGGATAAAATTCATACTGGTGTTTTAGAGACATACTTTAGTGATCATACTTTAGTGATCCCATTAATCCAAAACAGAACTAACAAAACTATATATATTATGTATATCCTAATTTTAAATTAGAAATGCATGACTTTTTCTAACAGGTAAGCGTTCGTTTCTTCTTTTCTTCCCTTCACTTCCCATTCTCTTTTTCCTATGTGTTTTTATGTTAGTCTAATTTTCTGTTTTCAGACATTCCTACAATTCAATTACAACATTTCAAACTTGATTACGTCAACGATAGCTTCACATAACATTTCATAACATTCAACAAGAGGTAAACCAATCCCTATGTTAATAACTACTCCTTTCCACCAAGTAAAACATATATGGGATTCCAGGTAGCATTTTACTTTGGAAAAGTTATGACCTTAACCCAACATTTATTTTTTCAAAATATAGATAAATAAAGATTCAAAAAGAGGAACTTTTACTTTAATACAATGAAACGACAAACGCATACTGTACAACACCTTGGATGAGATATGCTAATAAGTGAAGTCACATAATGTATCAGGACACTGGTGATAATATTGGATAATATGCAATATGATCAGAACTTTTTCAAATATACAATCTTGTCATGAAGAAATACTGTATGAATATTCAATACAACAAGTACAGCAGAGTTATTTACTTACTGATGACGCTGTTGTTGGTGGAACCAAAAATTGAGATAATATTGTTGAAATAGTGCCAACTACAATCATTATGGTATCAAAAACAACAAGAAAAATGTTTCATGAACTCTGTTCAAAGTCACCAGTAGAGTAAACGCCAGCAATCTTTAACTGGATGTTTTGTGACATAAATCTTTACAACTGAAATGTTTACAATGGATGACTGGATTATTTGACATGCTCGTAAAAAAGCGTGCTAATATGGACAAATTTTAGAAATGCCTTTGTCCTATTATTAATATAGTTAAATGAATGAACATAGTAAATGAATGAACTCACTGTCTTGAACAATTAAAATCAAATTCTTCCTGAGTTAAATTATTAAAGTACCATTGCTATCAAGAATTAATTGTAATGTACGCATTGTCAAAAATATATATATATATTTATAATACTTCTGGATCTGTCTACTAGTTTCATAGCCTGCTCAGTTTGTATCTATTTTTTATCTAACTTTCGGCTACCCACATGTACGCAATGCGTACTTTTGGATCGCCAAAATAAATTTATCCGGAAAAAATTTTTTGGTACTAGTTGGGCAGAATCCCGAAAAGTCGGGCAATTTTCTTTCCGCCCCCCTAATTTTTTCCTTCCGGTACGCCCATGGCTTTAAGTTCTCTCACTTCCCTACCTGTCAGTTAAAAACTACATCATAACTTAGAAGTTTGAGTGACGAGTATGTCCGAGGACTCCAAAAGGCCTCCGAAGTTTTTACTCTTGTGCAATCGAGTGAGATTATATAAATTGATTATCGCGTATAAATTATGTCTACTATGTCTATTATAAATTAGATCGAAATAAACAAAGCAAAATCGCAGTTCACGAAACAGTCATCTTAATTCTCATTTCACGGAGCATTTTTATCGACAATCACGCCTCATGGCTGTAGAACAAATCACATTTCACGACACTAAAATCAAGCATTTCACATTTCACGCGAATAAATATTGACCATTCACGGCTCACGAAAATACCCTTTACCACCCTCTCTACTTTTATTTGATTTTTAAAATTATAACTTTTTTCACTGACGCTGTCAGTTTGGAGCAACCAAGCTGGTTAAACTGAACAGTGTCGTCAATGAAGTACAATATACAATTTCAATGCAACTGAATTTTGTTAATTCTTATTTTACCTGAAAATTCCTAGACATTTGTTTCTTTATGATTATGGATGTACTTATAAATATATGCTTGTTCGAAAAGTTTAGAAACACAGTATAAATAAGATATTAATTGATTAAAGTGATGATTTTCAGTAACTATAAACGAGCATCATAAATGAGTTTTCTATTATTTTAATGCTGTTTTTTCTAAATGACCGACATTTTAAATCACTCACTGGGTTTTTTTTTCACCAATTAAACCGGCAAACATGGTTTTGTGCGGCAAATCATTGCGGTTTGTCGAAAGCCTGAGTTATTAATGAAAATAATGTATGGTAAAACAGTTATTGAATTCGTTTTTTTTGTCTTTGAGATTAAATTATAACGAAATATTCTTCATGTACTCTTTGAAACATGAGCAGCAGTGTTTTATGAGATATAAAGATACGAGGCGAAGCCGAGTATCTTTAGGTCTGACTCAAAACACGCACTGCGAATGTTTTAAATTGCTTCAAAACTAACTATCGATCTAGTGAGTTCATTGGCAAAGTAATTTCAGTCAAAAAATACGTTGTGTAAGTGGAGAAAATCAAAGTTAAAGTTCATGTAAATCAAGGGAAATCTCTATTACATATAAAGATATACTAATACATGCTTATGATTTTTGTGCCTTGTGGTTTCCTTCGTGAATTATTAATGAGTTTTTGAATTATATTTCATATTAGAACCAGCGGAACCAGTAGACCACACTCCTGAAGAACTATGAATCACAACCGCCGCGTATGCATGGAACTGAAAAAAGACTCATGGAATCTACAAAAATATGTATTATAAGACCAATGTTATATAATCAGTAGTTTTATCTGTATTGTGTGATATAAATATGTAAACTGTAAATATTATACTTATTTCGAATTATGCATGTATATTACCAACCATTAAGTTGCCTTATTTTAATTTAAAATACTAACATTTATATGTTTTATACTATCCTGATAAGTATTTTAGCTCTTAAGATTTGACTACCTAAATTTGCAAACTTTAAGCCAGGCAAACGTTTGAGTAATCTAAAATTGGTATTGACAAATTAATTAGTACTGGCAAAATTGATTCTATATTGTTGTGGTTGCCCGGCATATACGGCATCTTCAATTCTTGTGTCTGTGTTTGTGCCTGTATTGTTTTGTATAAGTAATTTATTATACGGACGTGGAGACGGCCAACACAGCGTATTTGTATGTACTAGGCAAAGTTTAATAAAATAAGATAAAAATAGATTATTAAAATTAATTAAACAGTAAGTCAGTGAATGAACATCGTGTATATAGTCACACAATGCCATCGAAAGCAAATTGTTACTAGGGGCTGGGGGTAACCAAGGGTGTCCAGGGGCAAGCTCCCGCAGAAAAATGTTGCGTTTGCGAAGCCTCGGAAGAGTATTTTCCGTGTTTCCTGAGAGAATTATTATCAAAGACAAAGTAGTGAATTTCTTGCACATTGTAAATTTCATGGTTTTGAATCATCTCCAAAAGTGTATTCTGTCAAAAACGGTGGCTTGAATTAACTCCAACTCCATGAATAGACAATTCCCATTATAGACTAATTTTAAAACTAGGCAAGGAGATGCCAATAAATCACGACAGCTAGAAAGAGCGTACCAAAATTAGTAAAATTACAAAATTTGGTTGCGAAATGTTGTAAAATGTGGAAAATATAGCCTTGCAAAGTTCGTAAATTTTGTATACTTTTGTATTGCGTGCGACCATTTTCGGCCTAAATGTGGTAGGAATTTCCGCAAGCAATACAAAAGTATACAAAATTTGCGAACTTTACAAGGCTATATTTTCCTCATTTTACAACATGTCGCAACCAAAGTTTGTAATTTTACTAATTTTAGTATGCTCTTTCTAGCTGTGGTGATTTATTTCAGTCTCCTTGCCTAATTTTAAAATTAGTCTATAATGGGAATTGTCTATTAACTCCAAAACTCCTTTAAGATCTTTTAATTTGAAACATCGTATGCTATCACAAGTATGAATGAATTGGTTTTATTTTTATTGGTATACACACAATATCAATGCAACAACAAACTGTTATGGATAATAGAAGTTGATTGTAATTCCCTGTGCAAGAACGAAGTAAAGAAAGAGAGAAAAATGCATAAAGGACAAAGAATTAAGCCAAATAGTGAAACAAGAACAAGTCAACGAATTTGAATCAGCATACTAGGTATAGAGAATAAATACAATTCCTGAGAAAGGGTCTTCGATCGCTTGAAACAGACGTTTCTTGACACGCTATTTAAAATTGCGAAAATGGCACCTCTAAACCAATCACAAGTTTGCAATGGGTTAAAAGGTCAGAAAAGCCATGAAAGAATAGAGTATCTGTTTATGCACTGTAAAAACAGATTGGTCGAAATGACCAATTTAAATTGGGGTTGACTCAGATGCATTTCTTTTTGACCAATTTTATTTGGTCAAAACAACCAACTTACTCGAATTTTGTATTCAGTCCCCCCGGGCTATTTCTGTCACTGCCTACACTAGCAACCCCCCTCCCCCCCTCCTCGCATTATATGTAATACTATACGTGTAGTAGACTCTGAAGACCAGTCTAGGCTCCATGAGTGAGACTAAAATATTACTCCGCTTAGACTTTGTTTTGATATACATACTGTAAGACTGTATATAACAAATTTGTAACAAGCTGTGGGAGAATGGAGCATTGATTTATCCAAAACCTTCAAGACCAACCTATAGTTTCTTTATAGAATACTACAATCAATTTCTAGATTGTACTATTGCATTAAAAAACCATATCAAACCCCCTATCAAGGACAAGGGTTTTACACACCCTGACGAATTCCTGTCTGAAAACAGATCAGAACCCCTGAATAATTCACCTTGACAGTGCTTACCCCTAAAGAATTTAGTGTTTTCAGTTTTAACACTTCATCCCAGGCTGTGTCTGTAAAATAAAACATTTTGGCTGTGCACATGTAAAAAATTTAAACTCATTGTCATTGTTATTGTTATAAGTAACCAACCTCATTCCCTTATAAAGTATTTATATGTAACAACCATTCAAATCATAAATTAGTGACTTCAGT